TCAAACTAAATGCTGTAACAGTAAATGAATATTCAGGCAAAAAATTGATATATTCATTTTAAAATCTCTCTCAGTGTTATTCAAATTAATAAGACAAATACCTGCTGGCAAAAAAAAAGCTGAGCTAAGCTCAAATTCTCTGAATATTTACAGGGTAGACTACGTGTAAAAGGGGTTTGTACAAGTTACCCCCCACGGCAATTCCAGTCACACAACATTTTTGATCAATCCTCAAGAGAAAACAGCTATGCAATGAAGCATTCAGAACCTGCACATGCTGACAATGGGTCATGAAAAAAAAGTCATCCAAAACTATTCCATGCCAACAATTTATTTCTCCCTAGAGAAACACAGCTGGAGACAAAAAAAATGTAACAGCCATTTCGAAGTATTTGCAGCATACCAACTTTACGCACTTTTCCAATCAATTCAGATTTGAGAATCTACCTTTGTATTGTAAGACAGGTCTAAGGGGTCATCCATTTTATTGGTCATTATTACCAACCAGCCACAAAATGTTCATGGGGAAGAGGGGGTGGGGAATCATGTAAACTTTTCATAAAATGTGAAAAATGACAAAACCCAGCACAGGATTTTTCCTTTTCCTTTATTTCTTTTTCCCTGGAGAAGGTCCAGAGAACAGAGACACAGTTTCCACATACAGGATATGGCCCCCTTAGGGTGTCATACAGGTGCAACACCTATCAACCATCAACCTAAATGTACTCTACTTGTCTCTGTCATCGAGTTTGGTAAAGTCCTAGTAACCCTGCACACTTCCTTAGTCTATCAATGACAGATCCCTGGACTAGATTAACAGCTTTCTCTTTGTGGTCTGATTTAAGGAGGTGGTTTCACTAGCCAGTCCCTCGGGAGGGTGGGGTGGGCAGCCCTGGCTTACCCAGTGACCTGCTAGAAACAGGTCGGGTGCCTTACAGGTGAATAACGTACCCATGGAAGCAAGTTTCTCAAGATTTTCTTGAATTTATTGTCAATTCCTTATTCTTCATCAGTGCTACAGTGAGGATGGGTGATATGGAATGATGTATGGATGGTTCTGTAAATTTCATACATGTATTTTCTCTTGATGTTCTCTTCGCTGACAGCCAACATCTGCCTCAACAAAAACTCTCTAAAAATTATAACTGAATGAGCCCATGATCAGCACTTTAAAGTCCAAGTTAGGTTTGATGTGGAGCATTTTCTGTAAGCACTTTTGTGACCTGCATTAAAAAAACTTAGAGCAGGTGATGAATGTTGCTGAGTGGAAATGGGTTCGGTTTGATTTCAGTTTGAAAATTGTACGCACTTTCAAGAGACACTCTTGTCCTTGTCATCCAAAAGGAATTACATCAAAAACCATGAAAAACAGAACTCTCAAATGGAAACATGCTGTGTTATTTTTAGGACTTTAGCTTGTTTATTGGGGGCTAAAATATTTCACTGAACTAGATTTTGTTTGTTATCACACTGGTTATAATGGTCAAAGGGTGTCCTCATTTTTCAAACCAAGGAGGCAGAAGGAAATTTATTTTTCTAGGTTGACTTGATTGGTAACCATCTGTCAAACTTTGATGAGAACAGGTAGTTTGACTTTTGCACCAAACTGAATTTGGCAAAGAGTAAATTTCTTACAATGTTAGAGGGATATATTTGCATCATGGGCATAATGTTTTCATGTGGATCATGGGTCATGGTTTGGGTCAACATTGTCTGTCCCAGTGAAACCCTTACATCAATCAATAAAAGTGGTCTGTCAAGGCGAGAGTTTACACATAACAGCTGATCAGAAACATCAAACACCCAGGCCTCTCCAAGTCATTGCCCAACCACCTGCTTCTTATTGGGAAGTGGTATTGTGGGAAGACATCACAGAGCAGGGTTGGCAAGGTTTATGGCTTAACCACTCCAGGACAGAGAGGAAGAGAGTGATTGAGTAATGGACAGGCAAAGTACTGACGGAGAGAAGGCTGCCCTTAAAGGGCAAGGCCTGGTTTTTGTCTCCATCAGGTGAAGTTGGAACCATTTAATAAGGGTCACAACCTTGTAGCAATAAATTGAATCCTAAAGTAATGCTATTATTGATGACAATGCTTCCAATAAAAAGGACTCTGGTTTTCTTGCCTGTTGTGGTTTGAGGTTTTGAGAAAAGTCCAACTTTGGGCATTTTTAAAAAAGTTTAAGAATGAACCCACTCTGTAAAGTATACAACTGCACATGGTAAGCATTTCTTGAATACAAAACAGATCGAGGCGTAAATGTTACAGAGTATCAGAAAATTTCAAATTCCAAACACAAGAAATAACGCATCGGCCTCCCTTAAATGCCAGCAATAAAACTTTCCTTGAAACAGGCAATTATTAAAGTGTTTATGATGACTGTAATACTGCACTAGCTCCCACCCTGAATAGTTCAATCATGACTCACCTTCCCAAGACCCCCATTAATGCAGGTAGTCTGAAACTACATATATTATGGGCCTAGTCCTGTCATACACAATGGTGATACTAGTTACAAACATGCCGGAAGGCATTAGCATAATAACAATTATGGCTATGTACCAGTCAGTGCCAGGTGGATAGACAAATACTAGTACACCCAGGATCACTTGCGATAAAATGAATCTAGTCTACTGTGTGTTCGTGCAACTAAAGTCTCCGTTTTGGAGACAGATCAACAACACACATGCAATCATAAGGAGCGTTCTTGGCCAGGTATATGTACCAGCAAAAAAATTCTATATATGTTTGCACTTTTGCTGCAAACAACAATTATAAATCATTTAAAAAACTGACAACTACACATGTACAGCATGCGTTAGCTGCTTTCACCTGCAAATAGGGAGACATGCATACTGTACAGCATAATGACTACCTGTGAAAACCTAAATATGAACGATTTCAATGACCATGACCTTTTCATATTGTTATTCACAATAACTCAATCAATGCTGTCTGGCAACATGATGGAGGTTATTTACACCCAATGGACTTGATTGATCAACAGAGGGCAGCAGGCACAATTAATGGCAATCTACAACACCTACTACCGCGGTATAACTGAAGGACAGAATATGGGGCCAACATCAAACAGGTTATGCTGAAGAATGATCACAACTGTAATTCAATGATTCCATTCTTGTTGAGAAGTAAATGTAAGATACAACTTGACATTCCTTACACACTTGTAGACATAAGCTAGAGTAGAACAGTCATGTCCATTATGATGCATGTGAAAGACACATAAAACATGTTTTATTCCTGTTCAACTTGGACAGGGGTTAGCTCGGTCCAGGTTAGGAGCTACTTTGGGATAGCTCCGACTAATACTTCTCAAAGCAAATCTTCTGGCAGCCTTGACTGCTAAAACTTAGCCCCAGTAAACATCTGCAACAATCCTGGACATCACACCCTGTCCTAATCCAAGGATCTTCACAAACTGGATTGAAATAATCTATTCTTCACCACACAGTCTTCATCTTCTGATACACATTGTCCTTATATCCCTTGAACTCAATACGCCACAACATTCTTGTCTCCTAAAAAAACAAAACTTCTGAGGTGGCTTGATTCTAAACCAGTCTTCAATCTAATCCCAGACTTAAATCTTTGTTTTAGTTCATGTAACCATGACAACACAGAATAAACAGCGTTCTCGGTTACACAGAATCTTCAGATTCAGTAAGATTCTTCAAATTCTGCCCAGATTGATTCAGCTGTAAAGAGCGCACTGTGGACCATCCTTATCGACGTTCTTATCGACGTTGCTTGAGAGGAGGATGATACATACATGAATAAAATGACCCCAATTCTCAGCATTAACAAACAAATATGTTAAGTGAAAGGGCATTAAAAGGTAGCATATAAAATACGACCAATTGATTTCCATCAGACAGCAGTAACACTCAGTGATCTTTTCCATGTATCACCCTCGGAGTATCCATAAACCCCACAGCTTTCAGGGAAGCTGAAGGTAACAAGGGTATGCAAAAGCCAGTTGCCCTGATCAAAAGATGTCCCCTTGCTTACCCCTTGGGAGAAACCACCATTGATTGGCCTATTTCCTTTGATGTGTTTTGGAGACAATAAATCATTTTCAAGCGTGCATCACCGACTGTACCGGTACATTAAATGCTACAAAATCTGTTTGTAGACATACATGTTGGGAGACATGGTAGTTTTGATTTTTACTGGGAAATTAACTGAAAAACTAACTGAATATGGACTTCATGTGGTATCTGTTGGAATTCCTGACACACCTGTTTAGATGACTGGCTTTAGAATAATTCAGACATATAACAATGAATATACCTGAGCTACGGCAGCACCAATAACCCTACACATGTCATTCTCCTGCCATTTTGTTCCAGGAACCTTCTTGTATAACCCAATATCTAGTGCAAGAAACCCAGCGATACATTCTCATAGCAATAAAGAACTCATTTCAGTGAATTAGGGAATTCCAAGTATTTAAGTCGATAATCAGCATTTATTGCAGATCTGTGGGCAATATACTCTAACGAACGGATGGAAGGCAAAATGAAAAAAGTACAATCTAAACTTAACTTCACAAAACACACACAATTACAAACATCAAAAACTTGAAAAATTGGAATGATACAGTCAACTTACAAAACAAGGGGGGTGTGACCACGACAGGCAATTATTGGAGAGGCTGTGAATACTTGCACGTCTCCACTGACTTTGAAATTTCCCAGTACTTGTTGAAGGCATGGCTGTCTGTCTGAACTCAACACAAGCCAATGGTCCACCGTGTGTGTCAATGCCCTGTAGATGTCTTTTTATGTATCAGTAGTAAATCACATGTTAGGGAAGGGGATATTTATGACTCCTTGAGGAGAGGCCACAGTTGGAAGAGACTACAAGACTGAGTCTATGGCTTGTTGTAAATACCCAACCATTTGGGCATTTTTTTAACGATCCCTTTTCCAGAGATTGAATTACTCTTCCAAAGTCTAGATTAAAAAGAAATTGTCTGACCTTAGACCTTGATGGTGATGGTGAAGAAGTCCCTGTGGCTGATGTAGTCTGCAGTTTCTCCGTCTCTGATGTCAAAGCAATATCGCTGGTAAGGCCTTTGGTGTCCAACCCTTGAAGGGTAAAAAGCATGTTCTTCAAGGCTTCAACTGGGCCAGGTTGTGATCCACTCGTCAGCTTCTGATTCTGAGAGAAAAATCAGTTCCAGAGAAAACAAACAATGCTCATTAACCAGTCTCTTGATTTCCTGTCCAAGGATTGATTTATTTTATATAACAGGTTTTCCCTTTACCCAACATATATACCACCGACTCCACCACCGAGCTTGCCGGGGTCAGCTAACATCTCCCCAACGCAAAAATACATCTTGAAAATAGTTCGCGGTACCTGCTGCTTCACCTGACTCAGACCGGCTAGCCAACCCCGGCGAGGTCGGTGGTTGAGTGGTTAAGACATCTACACTAGTAAGCAGGAGATCTTGGGTTCGAGTCCCACCCAAGTAAGGTTGTGAATTTTTTCACAGGCTCTCAGACAAGCACTGAGCATTCAGTGTTTATCAATATATACATTGGGTAAGGGCAAAACCCGTTATATAAATTAATGTTTCCCGAACGCAAAAATACATCTTGAAAATGTCCAAAGATTACTTCAGACTTATTAGCATTACACATAAATTTGAAATTTCTGTGGATAGGTCATTCCTGACAAGATGTCGCACCCAGCTGAACTTTTTGATGGGAGGTCTAGTCCACACATTCACTTAATTGCAAACTGCATTACACAATAATCACAATTATCACAATAATGCACAAACATAGCTGCAGTTGAAGCTTCATGCTTATGTTTATGTGGGTGAAAGCCAGTAATTGGTCTTATTCACAAGTCAGCCATATTGAATAGACAGATTACAATGAAATTAAACGCCATCTAACATGGCGTCAGTGTGAGTCATGTCTAATTTAAGCAGTACAGCCCTACACAAGGTATCCATGGCATTGAAATACAAAATACACCGATGTAACTTGGTCCCTTTCAGACAAATGTGATTTGTAAACACCCCACCAACCTCTTCCTAGCAAGACTGCTACATAACTTTGAAAAGGAAGGGAAGATATGACTTAGATGAGAGACTCACCTGATCACTTGCTAATTGTTGACAATCTTTTAGAAACTTGGACACACTGTCCTGAGGTCCAGTCTGGTCCTGCCTTCCATTCACAGGTTTACTAGATTGACAAAATAAGTAAATTGATGAGCATAAGAATTAATAAATAAATAAATAATTGCAATCAATTTTTCAAGCTCACTTGTGGAATAGTCTATCAGAGACACTCAAGCTTTGCAATGCAGGTTGATATAAAAGTGCCTGGTAGGTTTAAAGTAGCTCTGAGTAGCTGTGACAAACTACCTTAAACATTCCTCTCATTAATCAAGAAGTTTCTATGTGTGTTCAGACAGCTCATCTAATCAGGAGAGAATTCTTTAGATCGTGAAGTATAAAAAAGAGCAACTTTTCAGCCACTCCATTTGTTTTCATCCTGGCTGTCACAAGGTCAAACCTTTGACCATAGGTTTAACACTTTGGTGGTTATTTGTCTAAAGACAAGCGCAAACAAACACAAAAGACAAAATGTGAAGACTGAAATAACAGTACAGAGTCAATGACACCTTAAGCCTAATGTTGTCTACAATCTAGGTCAGCGAAGGTCAGCTACTGCAACTTTACATTCTCTAACGAGGGTAAAATTCCTAAGTAGGCTACAGTACAAAGAATGTGCCATAGCAGTCCAGAAGTGTTGGTATTTGGCAATTATTCCTTGCAAAAGCACTTGGGCAACTGTAAGGTTACTTGATTGTTTGATAAATGGGTTATTATCAGGTAACATTTTCTGTTCAATTAAAAATCATGGAAATCAGAGTGAAAACAGGTATAGAGGGCGCAACGTACATATACATGTATTGGGCAAAAACTCTCTCAAAAACTGTTCAAGCAAAAATCTCAAGTACTTTGTTTCAAAACAATGTAAGATTACACAAAAGTTTGCCTCATCACATATAGTTTAATTAACAGTACAAGTGGATGGCATGCCTACATGTACATGAAAATTTGCTTTAAACAAAGAGACAAAAGCTGTTTGAATACTTAAGACCATAATCAAAAAGGAAATAATCAATTACAGAAACAATTAAAACCTTGAATGCAACCAGGAACTAACAGGGTTTATATTTTTGATAAAAAAAGGATTTTCTGATTTGATTTGACTTTGGTGATAAGGCAAAAGCTGTGTGAATTGTGATGTTACATCTGCAAAGGATGAAATGAACGAAATACATGAATGAATAAGTCATAAATTTGACCAACTCCAAGAAAACCCATATTTGCCTGGTGAGGTTGCTTGTTTGCAGCCATAAATCAAGACATTCCATAGAAAGTTCAATAGGCTTCATGACTACTGTAAACAGCCTTTCTGCAGTTGTGTTCTGAAAGGTTTACTTTCTGAAACAAATGAAACTGACAAACGCTACGTGTCCAGACAGAGATGCTTTTCCTCCGGATCAGACTTCTTTGAAACAAGCTCCCTGAAGAATCTGGAATCAATTTTCTATTTCCCTGTTTTTCCCCACCCTGTGATCCTTGAGGATTCTGAGAGGTTAATGTAAACAGGTCAGTGTACTGCTGGCCAAACAGCCTCTGGGGTGGTTACTGTTTTCATAACACAACCGGATTTCACTCAGGAATGTATCTCCAAAATGTTGCCAGAGTGTCTGTGTTTTCGTTGCTTCATAAAAACTGGGAAAACCCCGAAAAAAGCCAAGGCATTTGAAGAGAGTTTGGGATTCCCTGAAACAACACTCTTCTTTTTCAAAGCAGGACGTTTACTGAGAAAAACAACTACCCAGTTAATCTCAGTGCCCCCTGATGAATAGAAGAATTTCCATTCAACCTGTCAAATGCTGCAGGGGTGTAAAATGGTGTTTCCTTGCTGTGAAACCACCGTTACAATGCTAAGTGGCTCTCATTCACAGGAAAACAAAACTCTGAGGAGACATGATGGTTTCCATGGCAACCTAGATGGCTGCCATAGTTACACCCTAAGTTAACCTTACATTGTGGGTAGGTAGAGCCGTGAAAGCTGCAGACTGGGCCTGGGATCAGTATTTGACCGCTGTGCTACAGGGCACACAAGCAGTAGGGTGTCGGGTGTGTGACGTCATGTGACCGCAACTTGCCATAACAACTCTACAGGGGTACTGGCAGGGTACCAGACTAAGTATGATTGTATTTCATTAGCCAGGCCTCAAGACAAAATATGGATCTTGTATTTTTAATGGAATGTAGGGACAGTCTCAACAAAGAACTTTCAAATACAGGAGTACTTCTTGCATTTACTGTGATTAGTTAAAGTGCAAATCACAACATACAGTACATGTAGTGAACAATGACACAATATAACAGGTCATTAAAATCAAAATACATGAAAAGTTCCACTTCTTTAGACTCCATTCCCAAGACTTTTAACAAGGGACACCAATGGAATAAAATCGTTGGAAAGAGAATTCTAACACATGCACATGATCACTAGATGGTAAATTTACACATAAGATTACATAAAAAATACATGAGCACTTTTTAACATTGCTAGTTACATCAACGACCAAAGGTTGTCTTTCATTAATTTCCCAATAGATACTCAAACAAAAATACTGTTATGACGCTGCATGACGTTATGACATGGTCTAGAGAGGGCTGGGGTGGAGTTGGCCCGGGGCGGGAGATTTCACTTCATCATATTTGGCTCCATTTCTACTGTTTTCATTATCCAATGGCCTCTTGAACCCAATGAGGGCACTGTTCAACTTTGGAATGAAGAACTTCAGAATGAGACATATCCAGTGACAGAGGGCAGCAGGCAACTTTTATAATGAACGTGTTAACCCCTACCTCTTCGGGGTGTGTGGAAATTACTTCCAAATTGAAGGATTGAGGACTGTTACATGTGGCAGTCTCTGCTTCTGACACTGTTCACTACAATGATCCAAACTTACATTTACCAGTCATTGCAGTTTAGTATTTGCAAAATGTAGAGTATCTCATCACTTTGTAAAGAATGTTCCACCTGGCATACACGTTCAACAACATCAGACTTCACTTCCAAGTTGTGTAGTAATGTGTAATGGATTAGGAGTGAGTATAAAGCTCAACAGCTATGACTTGACAATGCACGTATACGAGGACTGGTGTTAAAATTGTGTGAAGAATGCGACATTAAATCACTGTTTGCTGCTGATTTTTGTAAGATGAAGCAAGTTACATGTACATGTGCCTACCATAGCAAGAACGCATTCCAAATGCATTTATCCTTTGAAACTTTAGGAATCTTACAAAACCCTTCCACTGAACAGAAATCTACATGGCATGTTCTTTAGGCTTAGGCTTTGCGTTCTGATCCCTCAATCACACAAAAATCTTCTAAACTGTCCTTATGGGTTATTCTCAAAACCTTAGAGAGCTGGGATAAATCAGAAATTCTGAGTAGACAGAAATATTGATCAGATGCACAAAAACTTGAAAAGACTCTCTACTCACAGTGATGGCAAATGGCGCTCCCATGGACGATCCCCATCCAAGATCTCTTCAGTGAGTAAGCTGTTGTCATGGCGATTGACATCCTCCTCACGATCAGCTGCCTCATGGGGATAAAGCAACGTGTCGCTGGGTTTGTTCCTCGATGCCTTTGCTGCATCAAGAACTTTCTGAGCTCTCTCTAGCAGGGCATCCTCACTCTTTAGATCATCTACAAAACACAATTTAACAATGCATTCACATTTGACAGTTGATGTTTCTGACGCCACAAACACCATCATAAAAGTAAAAATGTGCTCGGTTCAACTGTTGACAGTTGCATATGCATTAAACACACATCGTGTGATTATCAACAATAAAAAGTTTTGTATGAGTGTGAGATGGTCCAGTGTCCACCCACACAGGGGTAGTGTGTTTTCATCACCAATGAAGCTTCTAAATCTGATCAGAAAAGCTTAAATACAGATTCCAAAACACCGCACAATCTGGGCTCTTTTTACAAGGCTGCTGGGCTGGCTGAAATACTCGGGCGTCAATGAAGGTCACCTGTCAACTTAGAGTAGTGCCTAAAGATTAATTCGTGCAGCTATAAACGACCGCTAAATGAAATGATGAATTTTTGAAGGATTTTGAAAACAGACAAAATGATAGTCATGCCAGCCCAGCATCATCAACATTGAAAAATGCCCCGGCATGAAGTGGTTAAAGGGAGCCAATTACAGATAACAATGTTAAAGACGGAGAACCGTATGTTAACACGCTTTGTGCTGTGTCTGTTTTGAACAATCTAATTCATACATGTGCAAATCAAAGGCAACAGGTTGAAAAATCTTGCAATATAAGAGATGATAAGAGATGATTGTAGAGTGAGAAAATGTACCTTCACTCAATTTGCTTTTACTGGTGTGAGTCTTCATGTAGTAACCACTTCTTCCAAGTGACAACAATCCTTCATCATTTACGTATCCATTCATGGATGGTTTGGAAAGCCTCGACTTGAAGTTAACACGGTACTTTGGTGTACTTGACAGCAAGTCTGATGCATTTTGCCTAGCAGATGTTCTCTTGTGATGGACCAATTCTCTTGCTGTACTGAAATGTCTCTGAGTTGCTAAGTGGTTGTTATACTTGGTTTTTTGGTGTCCTGAGTTTGACAAAGAAGACGACTTGTTGGAGAATATGTTTGGTGAATACTGCTTCTCAGCGTTGTGGTTGGTTAGGTGGAAACCTTTCCCAGTAGGAGATGCTAAGATCAGATCATCAGTAGTGAAGCTACGGGTTTTCCTGGATGTGGCCTTCCCGGAGAATTTAACAGCTCTCCTGGAGTGTTGCTCTTCACCGCTTGAAGCCAAATCTCGAGGTCGTTCACGAATTTCTTGGAACCTTTCATGTTCAATGCTTCTCAAGAGTTGTTCTGAGGTTTCAAAATCTCTAACTGTCAGTCCAGGAGGCCGGTTTGTCCCTGCTATGAGACCGCTTGCAGAGTTGGATCTTTGGAGAGGGGTTTGAGGTTTCTGAGGTGACAACTGTTTGTAGCTGCTTTCAAGAGTTGTGAGATTTTCAGCTTGTCTGGAGGTTGGGTTGCCAGCATGAGTACTGTTTGACAAGGTAGAGTTGAGGTCTTGAATCCAACTGGGTAGTGGTCGGCCACCATTAGTTTGCTCTTGAGTCTTACTGATACCAGACGTTTCTAGGTCTTGGACCCAGCTTGGAGGAGCCCTGCCGCTGGCTTGAGCCTGAGAGGGAACGCTGGTCAACCCAGACGTATCCAGGTCCTGGACCCAACTCGGAGGAGCCCGGCCCCTAAGATGTGTGTCAGAGGGAATACCACTTACCCCTGAACTCTTCAAGTCCTGTGTCAAAATTGGCAGAGGCCTCTGACTGCCTGGCAGGAGATTCTCTTTGGGGGGAGAATTTCCTTTTTCTGTTGCAAGAGTTCCTGACATCTGCAGTCCCTTCCTCCTGTTAACTATGTCTACTTCAGATTTGTCATTGAGAGGACTCTTCCTTGTCTGCAATTTTCTCATGTTTTCAAATTTGCCACTATTTACTGATTTATACACAGAGTGACTATTTCTGTCCATAGAAGGTGCAGAACTCGTAACTAGTTTCTTAACTGGTGAAATATCTGATGGAAACTGAGGAGTATAGGATGATTTCAGTCTAGGTCTGCCTTCAGTATGTGACCTAGCTGTCATATCTTGGTGTCTATCTCTGAAATTCCGCAGCTTACTGACAACTTCAGCTTTGAGTGTGCGACTCTCTTTTCGGACAGGCTCCTGGTTTCTTGGAGGCAGAGGGAGGTTCAAGGGAGGATACGGGGAAGCCAAGAGGAGGGCATCAGTTGACATACTGGCTTCACTCTCCATCTCAGTGATGACTGAGCTGCCAGGGAGAGGTGAAAGGTCAGAGGTCAGATGGCGGGAGGCTTCAATCAAGGCTTGAGCTGTGAGAAAAAGAGAAAGAACCTTTTGTCCATTCCTTCAGTAGTTCATTAGGCCATTTTGCTATTTGGTTTTGCAGACCTGTCAATTTTGGCATGCACACACACACACACCCTGCAATTTTACTGTTCGTTGTTTGGTCGGGGAGACTTTCCACAGTTTTTTATCATCAGTCAATCAATTGGGCATGATTGGGTGATATGCACAATAGCCTGATCTCTACACAATCAGTTGATCTTATCGCACACTTTGTTGATATTTATGCCATCAGCCAATCGCCTTTTCTAATTCACAGTTATGAAAGATTATTTCAATAAAGGGAAGTTAATTTGGGGTTTTCAACAGGATCAACCGATCGCATGGAGTGGTCGGGCGATCTGGCAGATTGGATGATCACAGCCAACATACACACACAAAACCTGTGCCTTTGGTCTTCTAAAACAATGCTTGTAACATGACTGCCTTCCGTATCTTTACTTTGCTAATAATGAATTAGACTAAAGCAATTACCAACATACCTCTGTCCCTCTCCAAGTCTGCCTGCATCATCTCACTGTACGATTCATCCAGTAACTTCTTGGAAACATATCGACGCCACTCAGCCCTGGTATCTCGCACACTGGTCTCCAAGCTACGGTCCACGGTCCGCAGCAAAACTGACCTGGGGTAAAGTCCATCAGAAAAAAGAAAGTCTAACGTCATCTTCTTTGAAACACTGTAGTCATTTTGAATCTAATTCAAATCTCATCTGTACCACATACAAAAAGCATCATAAATATATAAACTTCTAAAAATGAGTAAAACTGATGGTAATATTTTGGCCATATGTCATTTAAAGCTGTGCTTAGTTCTGCATGGTTTAAGCACACAATATCACAATCAATCATTCAACTGATTTTCACAATTCTGTCTTACCTTGGAGTTAAGAGATCTTCCACGGTCCGATGGTATGTCATGCTCAGTGGATGAGCGCCCTCAAAGTCATTGATGTATGCGGCAAGAGCTGCAGAGGCCGAAGGATACTGTTTGTTCTTGTACGTCATGATGGAAGATCGACCGCTTAGACTCTGGGTGCTGTGAAGGGTATCGTTGAGTCCGGAATGAGACAAGAACGATGAACTTTGCAGAGTGTGATGAAGGGAAGATGTTGTCGTGATGGGTGATGGCTGGTAGCTTGCCATGTTAGTCTTGTCTTTCCTTATGTTGATATGTAACTTTGGAGCTGCATGAAATTCTGACAATGGAGATCTTTCTTAATTCTTCTTAAAGTCATGGCGTGCCAGGAATCATCCGAAACTTGCTTCCAGCAGGAAGAAACAGAAAAAGAACAAATGTTCAGTTATTATGGTTTTAAGATGTAGAAATCAACAGAAGTAATCTCATCAAAATTCACTTCACTTTCCTAGCATGAGCCAGTTTTGCTCTGAAATAAGTTTTCTCAAGCAATTCCGAAGGCAACTTCAACCCACTCACAACATGAGAATTTCCGCAAAAAAGGCACACCACACAGATACTGATACAAAAGACAGTTCAGTGCTCCTATGTGCCATGCAAAATTACTCTGACATTCTTTCACAGAAAACACCTGCTTTTGTCACCAAGACTGACATGTACATCGTTAATTTTAAGCGCGTAACGGTTGAACATTTGGTTACAAGTGAGAATTAGATCAGGGTTACATACCCTGAAAAGAACACAGAAATAATGTACACAAACTGAAGGTTGTTGCAAAGGCACAAAACAGTATGTACAAGCTGCACACAATGAACTGTTAGTATTTTGAGGTCACACAATGGTGAACCTGATCCATGGACAAATAAATAATTCTCTCTCCTTTCTGGATTCTACAAATCTAAAAACAAATACTTTCGCCTGCTGACAGGCTAAACAATGCCAGTTGTCGATGTGAAATTGTCGAACTGAAAAAAAGGCCTAACAGCAATACTGAGAACCCTGTCTTTGCCTCATGGAAATGTTTGGACTACATGTATTTTATCAGAAAACATCCCCTAAATTTGCCAAGAGAGCTGAAACAGTAACCATGGGTACTGCTATCTATAGGGCCTGGTTATCTACACGAGCTTGGTGCATAGCTTAGCTGATAACAGTGGGGCCATTGATCTTATTAAGGATAGAGTTCCATATAAGCCTAGAGAAACCAGTAATTATTCCCTACAGTGACTGATTAGCCATCAGAAAGCAAAAACATTCAGAATTCAGAAATGTTCAATTTGAGGGGGACTGTATACTTGGGGACCGCCATTTTTTGCCATTTTTATCTTGCAAAACAGGTAAGTCCTCTCAAAGAACAAAGGCAACACTCTCTTTATTACACTGACCCTATTTTTTTGAAATTTCAAATTGTAAATTGTGAGAAAATGGGATTTTATTACTGATGAACTAGCCACGCAAATTTGAATCCACTGTGTGTCATGTGTAAAAAGACTCACAGTTTCTCTTCATAATTTCCCTCTAAACTCAAAGCCCTACCCTTTTTGACAACATCAGATACAGATTTGAGCATGATATCACAGTCATGCACCAAGGTCAATTCAACAGTTAAAATGTAACTCTCCTAGACACTACAGGGTACGCCCCAAATGTACAATCCCCCAATTCAAGGAAAATACCAAATCGTTTCGGCCTAGGCCTACACTGTACATGCTTTTCAGACCAGTTACAAAGGGTTTATCAGCAGGGGGAGTCAAGTGCCAAAGTCATGGAAGTGGGGTCTGCATATGGAATTTGGAAAGAGTTTCATATAAAAAACTTATAATGATTAACAATCATTAGGCCTATGATCAGATATATATTCAAAAATTGATGTCTGATTCACTAGTGCTGAGCCGGTATGATGAATCTCTGGTAACCACCGTTTCCCAATTCCCCATAGTAGGTGCTACAACTTTACAAGTTATGTACGCGCCAACCCCCCCCCCCCCCCAAGGTAACCTTGGCCTACCTACATCGTCTAAAACACAAAGGGAAACTTTGTTGAGCACACGAACTCATACAAAAAAGAGTCGTAGCTGGTTTGTTTTCAATTTTCATTAATTTCTTTATAAGTTTACGTCCAATTATGGCAATGTTCCCGACTATAATTAGGCAAGTCCCAACTGAAGTTGAATGTCCCAACTGAGACTAAAAGGTCAGTTGAAAAAGAGAAAAATACTAATCATTGAAAAAAAATACCAATTATTCTCAAAGATGTTTGAAGCACACCCTATATCTTCATGTGTGATTTTTATCCTAGTTTTGGCGAGTTAATAAATGACTTTTGGTTTTTTTTTTAGAATTCCCAGTTGTAAAAAGGATGACCCTGAAAATCTTACAGTTTGCGTGTCTTTTCCTTCCCAACTTTTGCGTACACGCCACAGTAAAAAAGAACTCGTTGAGGGCCCCATTTTATATGAATTCCACAGGAATAAGGGCACTGTCAATTGCTAGCCTTTCCCCTTTGTTTATACATACCTCCCGCCCCGCATAAGGACCCAACAATACTCAATTTAAAAGCAGAGAAAATTCCAAACTGTAGTTTTTAATGTTGTGTCGTAGTTGGGACAGTCCCATCAAACATGTTTAAAGCTGAGACCGGGCCCAACTACAGTTGGGACCATTGCCATAATTGGGAAAACCTTCAGCTGTTCCTCCATGACAAGAGAGGGCGCTATGGACATTTAATGGTGAGCGCCCGGCGCCCGCACTCCGCTAGCGCTCTCGATATCTTTGATCCACATTAGGAAAGAGGGCGCTATTAAATTTTAACGGTGGGAAAATATTGAGGCGCGAGTTTCGTGAGCAAGTTTCGCCAGTGCCGTGCCCGTGCAGCATCATACTCAGTATTACTATCACAGTATCAGCGCCTCAGTGGTTCCAAAGGTCGGGGTCAGGTAACTTTCATCTCCCGTCTGCATGCACTTTTATCACTTTCTTGGAGGCCCATTCAGTGGTCCGCACTTTTGCAGAAACGTTAATTTTAAGGTTGCAGTTGTCATGGTTTTCCTCCATGGTCAGACTCGAGTCCATATACCGGTGAACAACAATGTTACTCAGTCATACTTGTCATGGTCTAGTATCAATAAATGCTAACTTCAACCAGTGCTCCAACAAAGCAGGGACGATTTATTTATGTCAAATTAATTGTCTATTTATAATTATGTATCCACAGATTGCAAAATAGGCCTACATTTATTAAATTACATGGTGGACCGATGTGAAAGATGTTTGATAAATTAAACTCAAGACTAACCATTTTGTAAGAAATTAAAAAAAAAGTGGATGAAAGCAAGCTACTCCCAGAGCAGAACTGTAAGTAGGGCCTAGTAAAAGCAAGCCATTTTTTGAGATTTTGTGTCCAGTTTGGAAAGGACTATTGTAACACCAAACAGAAGCACTTGCTGCCGGGTAACACATTTTTGCTGCCCCTTCTTATTGAATGAGGAATTTTGAGAGGATGCTTAATACCTGGGAAAAACCTGGTTTGTAAAACTAAAAGTCAGTCATTTTTGTTCAAGTTTCTATCTGGTTCATAAGTGACTTCAGCCAATACCAAGCAGCCAGTCATCCTGTGAACTAATCAGCCTATATCAAGCAGCCAGTCAGTGGCAAACCAATCAGCCTGTACCAATCAGGCTATACCAAGCAGCCTTCCTGTGAACCAATCAGCCTACCAACCAGTCAGCCATCCTGTGAACCAATCAGCCTACCAATCAACCACTCATCTTTTGAACCAATCAGCCCACCAACCAGCCAGTCATCCTGTGAACCAATCAGCTGCCAACCAGCCAGTCAGTCATCTTGTGAACCAGTCATGCTAGACAACCAGCAAGTAGCCTGCCATCAGTGTTACTTCAAGTCTGTACCAATCATGCAGTGGATTAGCACAGGTAGGCTGCATACCATATTTCAAAGATTTCTGTGATGTATGTGTAGGTGGATTTCCAAATCCTGTTTCTTAATTTAAGCATTTTCACAAAGACACCCAGTCGAGGCCTCAGCTGTGACTTGTATAACATCGATTGTTTTAACTGCTAATTGTTATGGGTTGGATTGCTTTGTGTGACAGGTTGACCTTTGACCTTCTGAGGTGAGAGCCTGCCGGTGATCCCAATCTACCAGACCTAAACAAAATATTACACTTTGTTTTTTTAACATTTTCTTTATCCTATGGGAGCTGAGTGGGTCTTGTCACACCTTGCTGCCATATGAAAGCAGAACACGGTGTGCAGAACAAGTCATCTGATGAACCGCTTCTTGATTGGTCAGTCATTTGAAAAAGTACAGAAATATGTTATTTATAAAATTACGAGATGATCAATGCAGGTAAAAGGAATGTTTGTTTGCAATCTGACTCATGGAGGGATTGCTCTTCAAGAGAACAATAAGGTCAAGATCAAGGCAATCAAGTTTGTGACTTCCCGAGATTCCAATTTTGATATACAGCATGATGTATTTGGTGTGTGCATGATAAACCTTTGGTCAGTCATTTTGTCATTGAAATCAAGCTGGCATTTAACATTTGCCAAAAGGGTTTGTCATCTTGCACACTTCATTTATTTTTTGAATTTTTGAAATTGAAAAATGACTATTCCCAAGTTCTAGTAAACTTTCAGGGGTAGACCCCCCCCCATTTTTAACCAGTGACAGATGGACTTTTTAGTGATGAGAATTTTTAAAATGCATTTTGAGGTATTTTTTTCAAACTTTGAACAATCAAAATGCATTGAATGGTACTGAAATAGGAGACAAAGCTTTTCATGTTTTGGTGAAAGGTATTCATTAAATATATTTCTTTGTTATAAACCTTACCTACCGGTGCCATTTTATTTGATCCCCAGCAATACATGTACAGGCGATTCACAAAAGTGCTCCTCCAAGAGTTTGCAACGCGTTGGCCAATCACTACGCGCGAAACTGTCGACCCAATGCGCATTTGAAAAGGGACGACAGATTTCGCGCATTGTGATTGGCCAATGCGTTTCAAACTCTTGGAGGATCACTATTGTGAATCACCTGTATTCCACACCTTCCCCTCACTTTTCATATTTGTTTGATTTATGTCGTCCTTCATCTCTTCAGTATCAGGCATATATTTACACCATGTCAAAATCTGAAACACTACTAAGACTAGATTTGTGAACCTTACAACAGACAGAGTGATGAGAGAATGAAACTGAGGTGAAACCTGAAGTCATTGGAGGAAGAATCTTAAGATTATTCAAGATGTGTCATGAGGTAAGTCTGCAAACAAGTCTTTTTAATTGTTACCTTTGTGTTCAGAAATGCACATTGGAAAATTGGAAGTGAAGTGGATGATTGAAGGCAGGTTTTCTTTTGCAATATTAAAGTACATGAGATTAAGTGGCCATACATCGTGCCAATGCATTGGGTGAACAGTGACCTGATTAGAGACAAATGATGTCAGGCCACAGTGTTGCATTGATGTTTCGATGACCTTAGCGCCAATTGAAGTCCAATGCTAGCAAGCTATTAGGGATTTACTTCAATTAGAAAGAGATACTGCAATCTTCATCTGGGGTGTCTCAGACACACATCTGTTACTCTTGATTAGCCATGTTTCACTCAGTGTCAAAATATTTGAGTTACATGTATCATAAAATACCCTTGCAAGGAATTAACACTCCTATTAAGCATCTAACTCAGAATTTGGTCGACACAATAAAGTAGAGGCCTGTATTATAACTGGTCTGAAACTTTTAAAAATACTTTGACTTTAAAATTGAGACATAATTCACTCCTATTTTGCACTTCAGATAATTTTAATAAAATAAATTCAAAGCTACTTTCCATTCACTTTTCTAATTTCTGTACCTTTCAACAAGCCTATTTTAATAACACACCTCAAACTAGACAAATATTCTTTCAGAGTTTTAACTGTTTTAGTTCTACTTTCACTAGCACTTCAACAATTGAAAATCATTGAAGTTTCATTTTAGTGTCCCTTGACACTGTCTTATTTTGAGTTGCTACATTCAACAAAGATAAGAATTCTTATAAGGTTTTAATTGTTTAAATTCAACTTTTCATTCAATACCAATTCACCTCAACCTCCAGAGGGCGCAATAACCAGTCAAAGATTTTCAAGACTAGTACCTGACCGGGCACTCATCTACGGAATTGATGCGCGTGTAATGTCTAGGCATGTGTTGAATCACGCTGACGCCAAATTCATGCACTAGCCCATATTAGTGAACTGCACTTGACCGTATTTCAGCCAACCAGGATAAAAAACCCAGGAAAAGGTGTGTTATAAAATCTGCTGAGTGATAATACACTGGTTATTAGCAGCACCCTTTACTAGTTGATATTTTAAATTTGTTAGCTGCAAAATAAGTTGACACTATCGCCTTACAAATTTTTTACAAGTTAGTACACTAATTTGTTTTAAAAGATCTGATTATCACAATAGCCACATTATAATTCCCACATAACTTCTTTGTCTCCCTTAATTGTAAACTTCTTGTTTGCATATGTGCATGATGCCATCCAAGTTTTCTGAGTAGCATAAAACAGCTGGAAGCCATTGTATATCTGCCATTGTATAGCTGCCATTGTATATCTGCCATTGTATATCTGCCATTGTATATCTGCCACTGTATATCTGCCATTGTATAGCTGCCATTATTCTAAGGTTCTGGCATTGTTTTTAACTTGAAGACAAGAAATTGGTTCATATCAGATACTGAAAAGGGTAAAGTGGAGACAATTCCATATTATACCTGACCCAGGCTAGACGCTGAGCCACATTTTGGGGGAGGGGCAAAATATTTGGAATTTTTTAATGTAACCATTTTGTGGTCTTTCTGCGGTGTAAGGCTATACATTTTGGCTTTATAACACAAAGATTAGACATACATACTATCAAAGTAGGATGTTAGAATGAATGAAAATATGTTCAGGCTGCAGAATCGTTTTGGAGTATTTTTTTTAATTGAAGTTATTGGGAGGTTCTACACTTCACAATCGGTTTTAACTTGTAGCGCATGCAGTAGCAATCTTGAATATTTCAAGTGTGGTTGCTGTGTTGTTTATTCAGCATAAAGGAGAAAGCCATTGAATGAGGTGTAGTGATAGACGGAACCACTGTGCGCCTTACCGTGCATGGTCAAATACACCGTGTCTCCTTGCTGCAGAACCAACACCGCACTGCCAGACACCTGCTCATACTTACCTGAATCATTACCATGACCAGAGACAATGAATTCATTGTTTTTCTTCAGATGAACCCGAATGTAGCTGGACGAAGAATGTTTAAGCACAGAAAACATGAACACGTAGGTACCCGGTACATTACATGTAAATGTACCAGTCGATAAATCAAAGCTGGTACCTGGCAAAAGCGTCTCTGTCTCCTCAAAGGCCAAATGGGTGTTGTCACTCGAAGAGGTATCTGTGGAGCTTCTCCGCCTCACAGAGAATGCTACTGGGTGTGCAGGGTTACCTGGAGTCTCTGCTGGCTCACCCTTTTGACCTTTGACACCAGCTTCCCCAGTTGGGCCAACTAATCCAGGCGGCCCTTGCGAACCTCTCATACCAGGCAGGCCTATTCCTTCGCCCCCTTTCGGCCCAGGGTTCCCCTGTGCGCCCCGTTCACCCACGGCGCCAATTGGACCCATCTCACCCTTTTCACCTGGCTCGCCTGCATCGCCCTTTGACCCGGCTGGGCCATACAGGCCTTGGCTGCCCGGCAGGCCTGGTATGCCGGGTGTTCCAGCAGGTCCCTGCTGGCAGCACACTGGACACACCTGAGACTCAGAACCATCACTGTTCCTGGGAACCGGCCCGGTGATGGCAGCCTGGAGCTTGATAGAGTCACCCAGAAGGATGGCAATTGAAAGGATGGTTGCAAGGCAGATATGCATCTGTTAAAACAAAATAAAAGCACCATAAAAGTAAACAAGAAAAATTAACATTAAAACAATGAAAAAAGTGGAAGGAAAATTGAAAAGGGAGGAGAGACAGACAAGTGAAACTTACGCTGAACTTATACAAATGTATCAATATAAAAAGTTTGAGCTGAAGCTGTAGATTAAAATGAACTTTGACACATAAATCAGCCTGAGGGGTGATATCAAGTGGGAACAAAACGAGAAATGTACACTTGTATCACCCCGCTCTTTTAACAGGGAATGGGCCATAGTATTGCCGGGCCATAGTATTGCCGGGCCATAGTATTGCCGGGCCATAGTATTGCCGGGCCATAGTATTGCCGGGCCATAGTATTGCCGGGCCATAGTATTGCCGGGCCATAGTATTGCCGGGCCATAGTATTGCCGCCCCATTTTAAAAAATTATCACAAAACGAAAAGTCCAATCAGAAACCTGTCATCGCATTTGAATTAAAGTTGTCGGCTAGCGGCTCAGACTGCCGCTAGCAGGCACTACCTAGCGTCAGATGGCGTTCTTCAACTTTCAAACTTTTCGGCTTACCGTTTTAAAATGTACACCCCACCCGTTGGCGACACAAGTTCCAAATACTTTTGAGAGAGTTGTCGGTATAAACATGTGGGGACTTTAAATTTGGACTATTACTGAACATAAAACGAAACAGAAACTACAAGAAATGAAACTGATGCATGAAGTAAATTAAAATTTGAAAGAAATAAGGTAAGAAAATCCTTTTTCCTAACGCAGTGTCCAACGAAAAGGTGCCAGCATATCATGTTCTCTGTTATGCGCGCTGCCCACATCAGGAATGGAATTTGGCGGTACTGCACGAGGGAATTCGGGGGGGGGGGCTCGCACCCCCACGCCATCTGTCTGGCAGCTCGGTGTTGCTTTAGGCTATGTCTTCGGCATTGCTTGATAGCACCAGACTGAAACAAGGACTGTTATTTAAACTGCCACCTGCTCTGCAATTTTCTGAAACGTTTCATAACTCCATAGATTCAGGCGCAGTTTATGGGGGATTACAATTAAGGATCAAGCGCCCCCTTTCGTAATCGTCCTACCAATGAAATTGATTTCTTTTCAGCGAAATATAGTTGCCAAGGCTTTACAGTAATAAAAACAGTTCTTATTAAAACTGCGATATATTTAAGAAAGAAAAAACCTGACAGGGTGGAATGATTGGCGTAAATCCGTACCGGCGAATGTAAGGTGATAAGGATTACCAAAAATTCCAAAATTGCCCAGGAATGGACACCGGGAAAGCGGCAGGAGGGAGATGGATACTACATTACACATCAGCTGTCCCGTACAGAGCGGTACATTTAAGCTTAACTTGTAGTGTTTGTTGTTCGTTTGTTTCTCAACACCAATTAGTTGGGGAAGGGGATGATTGAAGGGCCGTAATGCGGTAAGAAATTGAGGTTGGGGTATTTTCCCCATTACCATCGATTTGTGCCCGATGGACTTTTAAGGTAACCTCAACATCCTTTCATTCCCTTGAAATAGTATTTGCCCCTCTGGTTAATTTAGGTGCATCCCCCAAAGTAGTCTCTGCCCCTCCCCTCTTTGAGTCTGTCGCCGCCATTACTCTGGAACCAGATCTCAATGCTTGAATCTGGGATCATTCACGATATGTATTCAGCTGTTTACAATAAAAAAAACCCCAACTTTGAATGAAGTGAATACCTCTTCGTTTAGTCCTCTAGATATTTTTAAGTACATGTGTACCTCAGTCTGTTCATTATTTGTTGTCTAATTCTCGTTGACCATTTGTGAGCTGATTGGGTGACTTTAGGTTTGGCAATACGATTGGCCCTTTACACTGATACAGGGTGTATTAAAGACAATTTTTTGCAGACTTTTTCATTTTGACCCTATCAAAGACGGAAGGTATCACTTTGTCCCTAATTGTTTTTAACCGGGTCACCTTCGATGTATTTCTGTGTTTCATGGAGTAACGCAAAATAAAACACAAATGATTAATTTCATTAACAAAAATGCACTTTGCTTGAACTATTTATTCCAAGGGGGAATGGCAATATCCATGTTCCGGCGTCTATGGTGGCGGAACGATTTTCCAAGTGGGGGTAGTAGTGAAACCGCAAGGCTCAGCTATAAATAGGCCGACCCACTAAGCCCCACCCCATTGTAGGACTTGCAGAAAGTACGGAAAGTGGTGGCTCTTGTCTCCTTGCCACTTTCAGCATTCGCTTGGCCTACCAGTGCCAGGAGAGAACAAATGAAATTAACTGGGCAAGTAGCTAATTGGATTGCTATTTTGGCAACCGACGGAAATAGCCACAACGAAACGGGACAGTGTTATCTGGCGTAGTGGCATAGAGCACGGAGGCAAATCAAGCAGGCACTTACCGTGATTTGCCGTTCTCGAATTTAGTCAGGCAGATAACTCTAGATGTCTGAACTTCGATGGAGGCTGAAAATAAGTTTAAGGCAACAATACAAGTGTTTGCATAATTATGTGAAAGAAACTATGGTATTGAACAAACGTGCAGAAAACTTCATCCCATGATCTGCAGAGAAGATTGGCGCTCACAACACAGGAATGAAAACCATAAACATCAGTCATAAGACGAAGAGCGTGTAAAAGTAGAAAAATTAAAACTGAAAAGGGGGCAAATTGAAACATTGGAAGAATCGACTTTGGAATTTGTACACGAGTAGCACACAAGTGAAACTTAAGCTTCAGTAACCAACGGCGAAAGGGATCATCCCCAGAAAAATATCGTATTTTCTAGTCAGAAGAATTCAGATCTTTCAGAGAGACAATATGCCGCCCTCAAGCACGTTCGCGCGTTAAATTGACGGTGCAATCCTCTCTAAGGGGAATTGTAGGCGAGGTTATGCCACAGAAAAGAATTCGACTCCAGTTAGTGTCGCGAGCTGAAGAACGCCTTTTTATAAAAGGCAAGACTATCAAATTTTTGGTTTTGCCCTGTGAATTTTCCTTCCAAACTGTTGTCTAATTTCGACAGAACTAATCCACAGTAATATTTCTACCAGTGTGTCATCAACCCGTCAAGAACAACGGACAGTTTTATTCGAACTTAAGAGGGCTTCTGGGTTGAAAAGCTAAGGGACAAATAGAAGAAAATATTTGGAAATGGAAGTTCGGTTGATTTCTACAATATGATGATTTGTTTCAGAGCATTTTGATTCGAAAGTCACTGGGAATTGTTTGTAAAATACTCAAGCGCCCTGAAAATCAGCATTTCTTCTCTACCTCAGGTAAATAGAAAATGAGCCGTGACTGACGATAATTACAGTATACGTAGATCGGTGCGAAGATACGCATTGCCTAGACAAAATAAAAATGCCCACAGTTACGGACATTGTAGGTAGAGCTAGTCCCATGCACTAAATAAATGAGAACTCAATAATAAAGGCATCATTTTAAAAGACAAGATTGATTCATCATCAAACCTCCGTCTCATTCTTTGTATATTTTGCCTGACAATATTTTGGGGCTAAGATTGGCAGCAAAATCAATGTTTGTGCACGATGTCGCACATAAACCAGCCTGTCTGTTTTGATTTTAATCAGACGTATACTTGTTTCAGTAAAATGTGCTGAACACAGACTACAGTTGAATTTTGACTTCAAATTGCCGTTTTGCCTGAAAAAAAGGGAAGCATGGAACAAAAGTCCCATAAAGGAATTTACAGGACTTTATAGTTCAGATGAATTTTGCACCAACGGGGTATTTTTAGCCACAACAAGTTTCAAAATATTTTTCTTGCCAAGTCAACGTGGTTATCAGGAACGTTCTCAAATAAATTGTGACTGCGAAAGTCCAAAATACCTATCCATCTCATTGAAAGAACAGCTGGAATTAAAAAGCCAAAGTGTGCTGTTATGATTTCTTACCACCAATATTCGACAGAATCAAACTTGCACGCTGTTTCCTGAAGTAACCTCAGCGGTGGTGCTTCAGACTTTATAAGGAGAATAACATAAAAGTCAAATCAAATCGCATTTTCGAGTTTATGCGCATTGACAACGTTTTTTTTCAGAAAACACATCAGCAACACTCACCTGTAATCTTATTGTTCGCAAACTGGTTAAAATCTTTGTCAGAATATGGAGACGAGTGGTGGTGGTTCTGAGGATCGGAGCGGCCGCTCGTGCCTTTAAACTGGCCAGCCATTTCCTGAGCAGTGACTGGTGAACCTGGCCTGGTGTCTGATTGGCCCCTGCGCGCTGTCACTCACAGACATCACTGACAGAAGTTCAGTTGGTGTTGTGGTGCTGGTGCTAACTTCAGTAGGCACATTATTACTGAAACTTAGATCACTGACACTGGGAAGTAATATGATCATATTGGCGAATAATACCTGGATGTTCGTGGAGCGTTAATAAAACATGTTCTGTTTGATTGACGCATACGGACCTGTCAGTCACACACCACTCACCTCTAATCACCGACTTGTTGAGTGATTAACTCTGATTGGTGGATAGAAGATGACGTGCACCAGCCGTGATTTTACTTGTATAATAATGTTCACCATTACGAGTAGGGCTATCCCATTGTGTGAAAGTAGTCGGGCTACACTGGATCACAATACGAGGGAAAAGAAAGCTCACAAGAAATGACACTGCATCTGACATACCCAGTCATAAACTGTCTTCATCATATCATGCATCATACGTGTTTCGAGAAACTATTCTCCTGGGAGGCTTGATAAGTTGATTGTGTAACTATGGACGCATTACACTGCGCTACTGAAGTCCAAGTTTGACCAAAGTTCAAAATGCATTGTACGACAAAAAGGTTTAATTTGTTAAAATTGCAAGGTAATGGTTTTCTTATGCAACCAATTTCCACATAGCGATTCTTTCAGAGTTAGTTTTGACGATCACCGATTTTAATACTAACTAACAAAGACTCAGTATTCCATGTCGCTAGCATAATCTTTGACTTGAAAATCCGATTTGTCTTGATGCACGACTGCATGGAAATAAAGAATGTATGTATACAGGAAAAGATTGGAGCCACTAGCTGCCGACGTGCGCGACTTTAGCAGGAGCGTATGATTTCTGACTGGTTTCTGACTATTCCACAAAGCACTGCGAAAGTGAGCGACGCCATGGCTCGACTCTACAACGATTTGGAACGGCTTTACTGAAGCGACGAACATTTGATTTGATTGGCCTGAACAATTTAATAATTAACCCATTTGATCCTGATGTTCATCATGCCATGCATCAGAGTCAAGAATGTTAGCATGTTATTTTACATACTGCACCAGCCCGTATGACTGGTAAACACTCGATGAACCGAGTGAGGAAGTGAATGCATGAATAGTATAGTCGGTATTTCCTTCCTCTATGCTGGAAACAAAGTCTCTATCAGTAGTTCAGATGCAAGTCAATTCAGTTCCTGTGTATGTACGTATACCGCGTACAGGAACAGTAGTAGGCTTGGGAGTGGACATATATTACGCTTGGCACAGCAGCATATCAGAGGAAGGTTTGTTGTTGAATCTCAACAATTGGGATCAAAATCATTCCAGATCAGACTCCCGTCAGAGTCTTTACACGGGACTCTTTGCCCCATGCTTTTGGTCAAGACTTTTTTTATAAATCGTGTGATATGAAACTAACCAAGTCAATGCTGTGTCTGTACTATTATATTAAAATATTGGATCGACATCAAGCAAATCGCTGAAAGGACCAGCTTACAATAAAGCTTAAAATATTAAACATTTTGAATTAATCAATTGTTAACATTTACAGAAAAATAGATCTTTAATAATCATGCAAAATGTTAACATCAAATTTTACACGATACAACAAATTTAACAAAATAACCCCCAAAAAAATTACATTAAGAATTCCAAACGTTAAATTTGAACAAAACAGAAATGGAGGAGTTCTTATATCTCATGGTTCTACTGTACAGGAGTTTTAATCTACCCGAGGTTTTGTTTCGTAAGTTCCGTAAGTGGCAACCCTCAACCTTCTCGGGCACTTAGGACCATTTTTCAACCGTAGTTTTTAGCCATTAATTCTGCTCTCATATGAAAGCTCAAAGACCCAGGGAGATGATCTTGGCAAGGATTTACACAATCTCACCATTTTGGGGGCCAAACATTCTCCTTTTTTAAAAGATACTGGGGGGGGGGGCTTTTAATGCTAATGAGCTGGTCAGAAACTCTCACTTGAATTCGTTGGCTGCACCCCTCGTGTGCTCTCAACTGTTGAATATCAGTAGAGGGCGCTGTTCTTTTTTAGAGAGGGCGCTATTCAGAGGCTGTAAAGTTAGGCGCCATGGTTAAGCGCAGCAAAAATGCACGGCATGCAGGAACGTGAGTTGTAAAGATGCAGTTTTTATCGGTATAAGCAGTACTTTTTATCGAAATCTTTAGATTTTATAGGTGCATAGAGAGAATTCAATGGGATTGTATATTTGGGGATCACGTTCCTTTAATTAGGCGGGAGGCCTACATTAAGGGGCTCGGCTTAGCTGGCAGTAAGTCAGTAATGAATAACACTTAAATAAATCCTCTAAAATACAGTGACTCATGTCTTTTCCCGCATCTGGAGTACCCTTCCGTCACACTTTAAGGACTCCATTATTCTGGACTCATTCAAATCCTTTAACATTTACTTGTCCTCTTACCTGCAAGAACTGTAAATTTTCAGTGCCCCATCATTGTCATTTTACTTGCCGTCTTTTTATTTTCTTCTAATATTCAGTAGTTAATTTAGAATGTTTTTAATTTCCAGTTCATTTAGTTTAACAGTTTTAATTATCTGTTTTATTGTCACATTTATTGTTCAAGATGTTAATTGTATGTTAATTATTTATGTTTATTTTGTGTAGCATTTTGAGTTTGGATAGACAAGTCTTGAGACTACAGTGTTTCAGTATACTTTTGTTTACCCTGGTCAGCTTTAAATGCTTGTTTATTGTCATTCCCACCCATCAATCCTCTCCTTCCATTGGTCCTTCCCTCCCCTCCTGCCCTTCCCCTTCCTTTTTTATCCTCTATTTTTAAAATTGTCATTCGGATGTTTGTTTTTCACAATATTATTGTATTGTTGATGGCCGAATAAATAATAATAATAATGCTAGGTTATTTAGACCTAGCCTAGGCCAGCCTCGGCAGAATGACCAACAAGGGCAGCTGTTTTTGGTATTTCAACACATGATGCATCATAGATTCAAATTTGCATGGCTGGTTTTGAAATACTAAAGTCATATTTTCTCACAAATTGCCAATTCGAAATTTTTTTTAAAAGATAAGATCAGAGCAATAAAGTCTTAGAGAGCTTTGCTGGGGAGGGTGGGGACTTAACAGTTCTACAAAACTGGGTCCCCAAATATACAAGCCCCAAATTCAATCATTCGCTCTGCTAGGTACTGACCTTGGGTCTGACTGGAGTTCAGTAAGGTCGTGCAGGCCTAAGATCTCACTCTCACTGTTGCCAACTTTAGCAGTGCTGGTTTTCCTTATTCTAGTTGTATTTTCCCACTGATTTGTCTGTTTACATGAAAATACTGTACATTTGACAGTAAGGGTTCCATATACGGACATCGGTAATTTACCCTTGCGACAGTAGCCATCAAAAAGTGGTATCTAAACATCTTAAAAAGTTAATTTTAACAGTGAAAATGTTAGTGAAGCATTTACTTAGTAAAATGCATAGAATTTTCCGAACCAGTGTGATAAGGATTATGCACAGGGTGTCAAGTGATGTCCGTATAGGGAACTCTTTCCCATTTGACTAGAGACACGTTTGTTACTACAGTAAAAACTTTGGATCTGACTGGAGTTGATGCCATGCTGCAAACAGTTTGTACATCGTACCAGTGACTACAGCTCAGATATTACTGTCTGATTTACACAAGGCCGTGCCAGTTTTCCTTACCCAGTTGAATAATCCTCCTTTCAGCCACACCATCCATTCACGTGTCCCAGTTTTCCATTTATTATCCATCCCTATATATAGGCCAAAGGCAGAACCTAGGTCATTAAAGGCTTTGTTATAACCAGGACTTTGTTGTAAACAAATGGAAAAACAAATAAAATGTAAGACTTCAAGAAACTTGGATTACAGACTCCTTACACAAGGATCTTATAATAACAGTGTTCTTTGTTTTAAGAGTGGAGTGGACTAGATCCACGGTGTTGCAAATTCCTTTTTGCATTGTGGTTGGTTTTCAATCACATTGAGACGGACCAAATTCAGTGTAAAGTGACTTCATGGCCTGTGGCAAGCTCCCATCACATCATGGATTTATTTTGAACATAATTTGACTGACTGATTTTTTTTGCAGGGGAACTAGCTAGATGCCAGCTTGCCAACATAACGTTACAGCAGTAATGACCGTCTGACTCTCACCCTACAAGTTACTTTGGCATTATGGTCAGCTTGCCAACCAGTACCATCTTGTGATCCAGCAAACCATGGCATTGAGTGGTCAACACAACTGAGCTGTTTCTTAACCAGCCTGGACAAGCCCATGGAACCCTGACTGCCTTGTGGTCATCCAATTTGCTTACCATCTCAGTTGTGAGCTGCATGAGACTAAGCCAAGTGACATGGCAGTCATCGTGCTGACACATTTTTTGGAGTTCGGTTCCAGGAGTGTTTACATTGTGGCAAAATTAACACATTCCAGCAAAAACTTTCAGGATCTCAGAAGATAATTGTCGTGCCTTCAGATTCCACCCACCACAAAAATGGTTAGACTTTGACTCCCTTTTCTTGACAGAGTGAATAACACAGCAACCTGAAAGATTTCTGTAAGAGCTTGTTATTCAGCAAACCAACATGTTATTCAGAAGGCCGGGTACAATGAATCAACCAGCCAGTCTTCTTGTGAACCAACCAACCAGCCAGTCTTTTTGTGAACAAGTAGCCAGGCATCAGTGTTACTGCAAGTTCATACCAGTTATGCAGTGGAGTATCACCGTTCCATTCAATAGGTTTGAGGGCAAAGGCGGAATAGGAGATGCAACATGATATGTGCCAAGGTCTCCCTCAAAGGAGCTAAAACACTTTTTTGAAAAAACAATAAAAGGCAACTGTGTTGCTCTGTTTCATTTCTCTTCTGTCTTTCCCCTTGAAAAACTTGTAAAAGGTTACATGAAAAACTCCTCAT